CGCCGCCGGCGGGGGAGGGCGTCGGAAGTCGACGCTCGGATGCCCGGCGTTATCCCGGGATCCTGCGGCGAGCGTGCCGTGTCCCCTACACACGCCCCCCTCCCCGGGTGGCGAGGCAACCCCTTCCATTCACAAAAAAAACCCCAATTTATTTAAAGAAAAAGTTTCGCCTCCCTGACTCCGTAAAGCGAAACACACCCCCCACACACACGCGCGCCCTTTCTGGCGGCAGAGCTGCCCCGCAAAGCGCCGCGGGCGGCCGGAGGTGAGGAGGAGGTGAGGGACACTTCGTACCGCTCTGCCCCGAGCTGGTGGCGTCCCAAGGCTCATGGTTGCTCTAGCTTTGTTTTTTTATTTTTTTTTTTTCTCGGGCGTTTTTTTGGTTGGCGGTTTTGAGGGTTTTTTGGTTCTTTTTTTTTTTTTTTTTTTTTTTTTTTTTTTTTTTTTTGAAGCATAGAAAGCAATTCTAATTTCTACGAGGATGACATAATTTCTAGGCTTTGTGGACAGAATTTGGCAGCACCTATACACCGGATCCAGGGGAATTTTTGGCGTAGTGGTGCCAGGACCTATCAAGTTCAGAGTTCTGAGGAYTTCTCTAAGAAAGCAAGCTTTCTGTTCTTTGGACAGAGTGGCTGTTGGAAGGCTGTGTCGAAAAACTCTTGCCTTTCTGAACTGCCAAAATGCACCAAAGCAGATTGTGTGGTTTTGTAACAGCTATATTTGTCCTCTCTTTGAGCAGTGAATTCCAGGTATCACAGCAATCAGGTGGTAAATTTAGGTATTCATGACGCTGTCTTGCTGAGAGATACAAAGTTTCGGATTTCTATGATCTGATGTAGTTCAGCATTTAACAAGTAGAGCCCCAAGCTAGCGAGYCCAGCTTCTCACTCAGCCCTTTCTGAGGGCTCATTTTATAGCCAAGGGTGTAAAGCCAGCTAAACAAACCTGCTTTTGCATAATTTCCCTGAGGTGGTTTTAACAATATTCAGGTTACTTCTTCTGTACTACTTCCTTTTGAAAATTGTAGTTGTTTCATTACATCCTATTCTGGAGCATATTACTTTCTGCCTCAACACTTTGATTCTCCTCCTTTCTGATCTCGCTATCCATACTCACTTGACAYTTGTCCTGTCCAGCCGAGGAAGAGGGAAGCACCATGTTCCCACCACTTCTGTCCTTCCCACACAGCCTTCTCAGGGAAAGCATCCACC